TGGATGAAAAAATGAAAACGAAGAAAAATTCCTCGCAGCACCACTGAAATCAATAAGAGTCACATAATGTTATGAGTTGAAACGAGATGATAGGGGAGCATTAAAAGAAAATATGCGAACTACGATTGAATGTTCAACTTCGAATCGCCCGCAGGAGCTCAGTAGATCGAATTCAGTGGAGCGTTGCAGCACAAATATGTACTTAGACATCGCAATTTAGATATCTTAATGATTACGCATCTCAGTGACTATACATTCACTTGTAAATAAACTGATAGCGGAAGATAGCGGAATATAGCGGAAGTTGCCCGCTATCGAACAGCGATAGCGCCGTTCCCGCTATCGCTATTCCGCTATTCACTCGAACTTCCGATATCGCTATTCCGCTATTCGCTATTAGCGGACTAGCGGAATAGCGCGCTATTGCCCAACACTGGTTATATTTTTTGCATCAACTGAATACAGACGCACAGGAATTGCTTTAAAACATATATCAGGTCTTTACACTTCACGCTGTTGAATAAAACACGATGACAAAGAAATCTTATGTGAATAACAGTTTTATCGAGTAATGAGAAACAGTTCGATACAACTGAGTGAGTTTAAGGAATATCTGACGGAGGCATTACCAGTTGCTTTGATTGGAATGAACTGTAATCTGATGTCGCAGTATATCGAGTATGTGGCTGATCACTTGTTGACTGAACTTGAATGCCCTAAGGTTTGATCTTGATCTATATTATGTTTTGGTAATTATGATCACTGTTACCGTTATTAATTTTAATGCTCATTGTGATCATCTTTATTGATTTGGTTATTATTTCGTTTCAGTTGTACAAAGTCGAGAATCCATTCGATTTCATGACAGGAATATCGGTTGAAGCGAAGACGAATTTCTTCGAGAAACGCGTCAGTGAATATCAGAAAGCCGGTGTGTTGAGTAATGATTGCGATAAGGCATTCAATATTGATGCTGACTTCTGAAATGAACGTTTCGAATTTGTGTGCAAAACAATTTTAATGGGATTGACTGAATGGTATCTATGGAGGGGTTTATGAGAAGATTGGTTCTCGAAGAAGTGTAATAGTTCTATTACACTTCTTCGAGAACCAATGCCTCCGTCAGATATTCCTTGGTTGTTGCTGTCTTTGATTGATCATCGGTAATCAGTATTTTATCCAGTAGTCTTATCGCATGTGTTGTATCTTTTTAACTAATATGAGGTGAACTAAACTGAGCAAGTTCCGGGAAACTTCCTTGGGGGAAGTGGCAGGTCGCAGTTTTGTCGCAAATGTTGTTTAGATCATGTTTCATCGTTGCTGTCATTATCTTCATTACTGTTTTTTCCAGTATTATGATTCTAAATATGGTAACCCATGTCATCATTGCAATTCTCACCATCCATCTAATTCCATTCATTTAACCAGTACAGTTCGTCGTTCATTTGTGATCTCATACTTCGTCTATGCATGAGTTTTTGTCAAAAGCTTTCCGTAATGATTCCTCATCCATAGATTAATTATGAAATCCATTTTGAGTGTTCCTCAATATCAGTTCAATTCATACTTAACAAGAAACACTTCATGTTCATATTTCATCTCACTTAGGTATATCTGTCTTTAGGTATATAGGAAGCACTTTTTTTAGGTGTATCTGTTTCATATCGCTATCATCTTGTATTTGCGGTTGTTTTATCAAGATATCCTTTTCAGTGTTCTTGTGTGAAATCTCTAAATGTCAAGCCTTCATGAAGTCAGTTTGCTAGTTCCCAAACTGTCGCCATCATTCGAAAGCAACGTTCAGTTTGGTTGATCCAACTGAATGTAATTTCTGTTGTAAATACTGTTTCAGAACGGATAATACCGTTCATCTGTATCACACGCAGTTATTCCAATAAACAATAATAATATCCAGTTCTATTCTCGCCTACAGTTCAGTTTCAATACGATTCGATTCAGTGCTGCTGCATTATTCTGCAACTTATCATTAGTATCCCTCGGACAACTTGCTGAATAATGATGGATTAATGTGGAAACGTGGATTAATGAACAAATAGTCCGTAAAGTCACAAAAGAGAAAATGAGTGTTTGATATTATGAAGAAATTTTGAGTTTGCAGCTCTTTCTCAAGATTAATTCATAGTCACACACATGGACTAAAAGAAAGACGAGAAGAACCCGTAGGGTTCAAAGTGGTACTGGATTGAGTGAAAAAGCGGTGCGAGAGGGTTTTAACAATAATATTGAGTGAAGAGAGAAGGGCACATTCTTGTGAATTGTTGTAATTAATGACTCAGTTGATTAGAAAAGTTTTGGAATTAGACATTCACAGTCAATTGTTAAGTGCTAGGAACAGAAGCGAATTGCTAGTTTTGGCAGTGGTCTATCGGTTGATTCAGTACATCGGTTATAATCTGGTGTTAATTGTTTTCACATAGTTTATTCGGTACTTCATTACATCTTTCTACAAATTGCCGTCAAAGTTTTCATATTCCAAATTCATCACTGATTCACAGATGTATCGTGGTCATCGAATCGCTCAAATGCTGCTCGCAAAAGAGCAATCAGATGAGTATTTATTGTCGGTTGATCGGGCACAATGGTATCATGTTGACCAGTATGTTTCCTTCCTTGCAAATTATTTCAAAAAATTCACCTATGTTTGTGTATGTTACTGTTCCAGTCTATAATTGTGCTGACATGAAATTTGAAATTACCGAAATTCCATGCAACATTTTTTCATGTAAGAACATAACGCTCAATGGAAGAAGGCGAAGAAATTTTCACATGTTTCCCAAACACCTAAATCTCCTACCGAATGAATAATGACTATATCATAATCTTTCCTTAGCTAACAAGACGAAACTTCGTATCTATAAATCACGATTTTCGAACAATCTATATTGTTTTGAGAATAAAGACTTCAAAGTTAGCTAAATTCTATCCCTCTTGTCAACAAATTCAAATCTTCTGATAGTAATTAAAGTTTGCCTCATGCATCTGTAGTCCCAAGCTAATACTGATTATGAATATTATCTTTTACATTATCCCATTTATCATCCTACACTAGAACATCGTGAAATTCTTAGCTCAAAGTTGGCATCTTCACCGCAAATGAACGAGAAATGGCACCAGTTTTATATGGATCGTGAAACGGAACAGTTTCTTGAGGATTCATTCGATACGAGTAATGCAATTTGCCTTCAGGTTGATAACTTATTCGCATCCTTTTCGAAAGTCATAATGTGGACATATTTCGTAGAATGTTTTTGCTATCTGTTTGTTCCAAATGGAGGATGTCATTGATTAGCTCAATTTCGCAGCTGCTCTTCGAATGCGATTGTAAAGAGCGATTCAGTATATAGAGCAATAGCCTCTAAAACAATATTACGGTAGGATAACTGCAATAGTGATAATGAGAAATCTGCATAAATAATAATGATGATAATGATAATGTCATGGTAGGAATGACTACATAGTGATGATGATGAGAAATTTACAGTGAGACGGTAACAACAGTGATATGCAGTATGATTACACAATGGTAATAACAGTTGGTGAATTCAGGTGTATTACGCACTTGCATCGGCAGTTCTGTCAATGATGATGAGTAAGACAAGCATCAACGGTGTTTTGAATCGCGGCGGAATGTTCATTTTTTCGACGCAGCAATTTCATGAATTCATGCGAATACCCGACGATTGGGATGAATATCTCAAATATGTTCGTTCCATACATAAATTCTCTCGTAGCATTCCAAGTTCTTGACTTTTTCAGTTGATCGGTTGACAAATCGGAATCAACTAAGCAATGAATGGTTTGAAAATATTCAAAGAAGTTTATTTTGTAAGGTGACAATTTTTGAAATTAGCTGGCGACATTTTTTGATTCAGATGTTAGATTTGGGTGCAGGTGATGGTCGCGTTACGTCCACAATCGCTAACTTCTACAAACACGTCGCAGTCACTGAGGCATCGCAGGTTTTGATTTTGAAACATTTTTGTGCTTTTCTATTGAAGAAGTCATGAAAAATGGATCAATTCTGCAACAATTTCTAATTTGAATTATTAAAAGTTTCAGCTAAAACCACGTTGCTTTTTCTTTTTGCTTTTTTCATTTACATATTATCGGTTTTTTATTGATTGGCCATTAACGATTACAGTGACAGTGTAAAAATCAAATGAACGGCATGCTTATTATCATGGTGATAGTTATACCAATGACAATAATGATAATAACGATGAATCAGGTAATGGAATGGCGTCTTCGTCAACGAGGCTATAAAGTAATCCCGATGAACGAATGGACTAAAATCGACGAGCCATTAGATTTGGTTTGTGCCTTGAATCTGTTGGATCGTCATTACAATCCGATGGTATTATTGAATGATTTATATCGATTAACGTCGAGAACGAATTCGCTGCTGCTGATTGCGGTTGTTTTACCGATACGTCAATACGTTGAATTTCATCCGAATAGGAAAACAAATCATGCAGGTGAGTGTTTGAACTGATCAATTCACTTCGTTTATTCCGCATCGGAATTTGTGAGTGAACGGTTATTCATTTTTGGTTGATTTATCATTGATTCGTTGTGTATTGGTATGGAAGAACATTATCTTGATAAATAAATATGTGTTTAATGATATCGGTACACCACTCGGTTTCGAGCAAAACTTTCCTTCCCGAACGGGAATCGAACCTGTGACATACGAGTTATCGGTTGGGGCTCTGCTTCTGAGCCATCGCGGAGACCGTTCAGCGTCCGCCGAGTGGTGTGTTGAGATCCAAATCACTTTTTCAGCGCACCTTCGTGGAGGAAAGTTTTGCTTGAAACCGAGTGGTTTACCAATTTCATTGATGTTGCGAGCCTAAACCAGGCTATGATTTGACTTGTATCTAATTGTCTGTTAGTTTCCGTTTAAATACGTGATCGATGAAAAATATGCAGAAGAATTGTCGGTTTCAGATAGCAGAATCACTGTTGAAGGTGAAACTTTCGAAGAACAAGCAACGTCATTGGTTGAGAAGGTTTTTGAACCGGCCGGCTTCGAGCTGGTTCGATGGGGCAAATTGCCGTACCTGTGTGAAGGTGACCATGCGAAGGTAGGTAGCTTCTCGCTCTTTCAGCACTTCATGTGGGCGATACGATCCCCCTTTAATCATTTGCCTCAGAATGATCCCGGCCTCTAGAAGTCTCAAACTGATCATTATATAAAAGTACAAAATCGTGCGAATCTTCATAATTCTTATAGTTTTATTCGCTTATACTGGGATATTTGCATCACTTCAGGCATACTATAAATTGGATGACGCAATATTCCTCCTCAAACCAAACCCATTACACCAACTGAACAGCACTGATCAAGGTGATTCTACTGTCTCATATGAAAGTGAACACTCTGATAAGGGTACTAAAGAGCTTTGAACACAAATACATGTACGAGTTGAACAAATTTTCCGAAAAAACCCACTGTCATTTATCAGAGCAGCTATAAATATATTTATCCATGCAGAAACATTCAGTCTTCATTCAGTTGATCAGAACGAATCAAGCAACGAAAAAACGCTTGCAGAGATATTGTTTTCTCAATTACTGTGAACAGTCGCTTACTCCAATCTTTGGAGTATCGTTATGATTGAATGAATGTTAAAGCTTCTTGTGAAATTTCTAACTGAAAGTTTCACTTTTTTGAAGTTAAGTAATTTGAGAGGATGATCTTCGAGATGAGATAAATGAAATTTCATTGGATTTCATGAATAGATAAATGAAATTTCATTGGAACAAATCAAAATTTGTTTAGTAACATGACATATTAACATATTATTTTCATAAATGTTTTATTACAGATAATCATTTCAATATTAGGGTTTCATTAAAAGTAGAAAAACGAGTACAAATGCGTGAATCGCAATTGAACAATATCACTCGATTATTTTCTACCCTAACATTCTAGTCGGTGGAATTCTGGATGACACTGAAAAACATTCGTTCATTAATGATTTTCCAGTTATATATGTATCATTTAAATGAATTAATAATGAATATATTCATAAGATATTCCAGTGCCTTGAAATTTTATATAAATGAATCTTAAATTATTTTTCATTGTCGGTGATTCAATAAACATCGCGATGATAATGAAATTGATAGTAATAGTAGCAATAATCATAATAATACCATTAATAATAATGTCCACAATAACGATGTTGAATAAGCAAACGAATATACTTATGTAATTACATGTTTAATTGTGGTTTTTTCTCAAAAACTCGTTGTTATTATTGATGTAAGGTGAGTATATCAGTTTGACGGTCATAATAAGTCTGGCGACTTTGGGTTCGTGATTGTGCAATTGGAGTGTTTCGAGCTTGAGCTGTCGGTATTTCATTTCGTTTCATCCGACTTTCCAAACGGTTATTATCGCGATAGCTAAATTTCATTTTCAGGCATTAAATTTTGTTTCATTTTGACAAATTTTAATTCAGATTTTCGATTTATCTTGTTTATAAAGCATTGAATAAATGATTGATTGAAACGCTTGATTGTTTTATCGAGAACTTTTTACTTTTATCCAACTGCGAGAAATTGCTGCAAACTGAAACATCACTTATTGACTGAAAAACTCATGATTTGGAATAGAGTAAGCAAGGAATGAAGTGACAGATATTTTAGACAGTGTTGGGCAATAGCGCGCTATTCCGCTAGTCCGCTAATAGCGAATAGCGGAATAGCGGAATAGCGATATCGGAAGTTCGAGTGAATAGCGGAATAGCGATAGCGGGAACGGCGCTATCGCTGTTCGATAGCGGGCAACTTCCGCTATATTCCGCTATCTTCCGCTATCAGTTTGTTTACAGTAC